TGGGGGAAGAGATTTGATCCTGCGAACAGTTAATGATATTGCCTGAGGGGATGTAAGTCCAAAGGAGGTGTATCAAAGAAATTCTTGAAAGGTAATAAAGAAAATCCCAGTGCTTCCCCACAAAGTAGAAGGGAAAAGAAAACTTAGAAGAAAAAAAAATCTCAGCATCTAAAAGAAAGGGCATAAAGTAAGGACCCATGTGCCAGACCTTTTCATTGAGTTATTCCAGTCAATCCTGGAAGTCAAGATGAGTAGCTCCATTTTACAGGTGTGTAGACTAAGGCCCAGGGTGGTTTGTCCAACTACCCGGTCAGAAGAAGTGAAGCTGGGGTTAGGATCGAGCTCTGCCAGACTCCAAACCACGTGCTCACTCCAGGCATCTTACCAGGAATGGAAAGATACAGAGCCTTCCAGAAGAGCAAACTTTGTCTGCCTGTCCTCCCTGGGTATAGTCTGCTAGAGCCCAGCAAGACTTAGACCTGTGTGTGAGCCCTGAAGGCAAGCACAAACACATCATCCTCAAGCCACTGGGCTGGGTGGTGGAGGCAGGAAGACGAGCTCTGGGTAAGACGTCCTGTGTCCAAATCTTAGTACTTATTTCCCTGACTGTTTGACTTGGCCAACTCAGTTAGCCTCTTTGAACCTCAGGAATCCTCTTCAACAATGGGATGAATAATCCCTCCTTCAAAGGTTTGAGGAGCTCTGGGTTAAGCATTTGGCTGCTAACTAAAAGGTCAGTGGTTTGAATTCTCCAGCTGCTCTGTGGGAGAAAGATGAGACAGTCTGCTCCTGTAAAGACTGACAACCTTGGAAACCCTATGGGGCAGTTCTACTCTGCCCTAAAGGGTCACTGAGTCAGAATCGACTTAATGGTAGTGGGTTTGATTTTCAAAGGCTTATCATGCAGGCTTTTCCAACCTGTCATCTGCAGTGGAATCTCTGCCAAGATGTACATTTTCATAAGACCCCAAAAGAGGAAGACCATCACCCTCGCAGTTGAATGCTCAGATACAATAGAAAATATAAAAGCCAAAATCCAAGATAAAGAGGGAATTCCTCATGATCAGCAAAGACTGGTCTTGGTTGACAAGCAACTGAGAAGATGGAATACTTAGGCTATCACATTCAAAGGAGACCACTTGTTGTCTTGTGTTGAGACTTCATGGTGGTGCTAAGAAAAGGAAGAAGTCTTACACTACTCCCAAGGAGAATAAGCATAAGAGAACGAAGGTGAAGCCAGCTGTCCTGAAATACTATAAGCATTGTATAAATACAATGGCAAAGGACAAAATGAGCCACCTTCGTCAGGAGTGTCCTTCATGTGAATGTGGTGCTGGGGTTTTTAATAGCTGGCCACTTTGATAGACATCACCGTGGTGAGTCCTATCTGACCTACTGGTTCAACAAACCAGAAGACTAGTAATTGTGTGTGGGTTAATGTTGCTAAATAGAAGACATAAAGTGAAAGAAAAAAAAAAAGGGGGGTGGTGGTGGTTTATCCCGCAGGTTCAGCCTCTATCACAGATGTTCCTAGGCTGCAGCTGTTACTATTACACCTATTTGATGGATGAGAAAACTCAGCCCCCAAAACTCAGGCCAGGCAATATGTTCCAGGGCCCCGGAAAGGCTCAAGATGCAGGTGTTGTAATCTTGGATAAAATGTTACCCTCTGGGCCTTGGCCTCCTCATCACTATAACCAGGGCTTGGTCTCGGTAGTCTCTAAGGGTGCTTTCAATTCTGGAGTTTCCCCAAGATTGTGAATGCAGGAGATCAGGGTCTGCCTTGAATTCTGTGTCTCTGGCCCCTGGTGCAGCACTGTCCCTGGATAAGCACTGGTAGGTGTTCAGACAGTACTTGTTGTTGTTGTTGTTGTTTGCTGTCGAGTCGGCCCCGACTCATAGCAGCCCCTCCTTGGGTTTCCGAGGCAGTATCACTACAGAAGTAGGATTGCCCAACCTTCCTTCCGAGGAGTGGCTGGTGGGTTTGAACCTCCAGCCTTCTGGTGAGCAGTCAGGTGCCTTAGGCACTATGCTACCAGAGCTCCTAGTACTAGGCCAGTGAATTATTGTGCCCAGGACTCTTTGAGATTTCAGCACATATCAGACGTAGACGCAGGATTAGAGCACAGCTCTCCTGACTCCCAGCCCTGTGCCTGGGAGCAGGGGCTTGGTAGGGTGTGTGTGTGGGGGGGATGGCAGGGGTCTGCCTGTATTCACTGGCTAGGTCAGTTGTGGAGGGGGTGCAGATGCCCCCAGGGGTGATGGGAAGCCTCCACCCTTGCTGACTTCCTGAACAAGCCTCTGGAGTCCAGCAAGGCTGCAGGAGCAACAAGGCTTCCGCTCAGCAGGAGGCAGTGTATGAGGAAAGTCCAGCCCAGGCTACAGGCTTTCCCCTCTCACTCGCCCATGCCTGCTTCTCCTCTGTCACTAAGCATTTGCCAATCCAAGGTCAGTTCCTAGGCGTCACCTCCTGGGGCTCCAGCCTCTTCCTTGGTCACTTTGTTCCATTCTTCTCTATCTCCTGGGGCTCTGGTGCTCCTCATCAGAGAACAGGGTGAAGCACAGAAGCGTGCCCAGGCCAGGCCCCATGCAGGGAAACCACCGTAGGACCTGAGGCTAAAGGCCTGATCCCTCCCTCAGGGCACCCTTTTCCTTCGTTAGTCCCACACTACATGGGAGCATCATAGGAGAAAACAAAAAACTCCAACTCACTGCTATGGAGGCAATTTGACTCATAGCGACCCCTCCTTGGGTTTCTGAGGCAGTATCTCTATGGAAGTACATTGCCCAATCTTCCTTCCGAGGAGTGGCTGGTGGGTTTGAACTGCCAGCCTTTCGGTTAGCAGTCAAATGCCTTAGGCACTACGCCACCAGAATACCCCTGAATACTTTGTCTCCAAAAGTGATGCCTTTTCAACCACTTGCAGGTAACATGTCAAGGTCGAGACAAAAAAAGTGGGAGGAAGCCATATGAAAGTGAGACAATCGGCTGGACTAAGTAGAGGGTTTGAGGGGTCCCTGTGTTATGTGACCACCCCCTGACTGAAAAACAGCCAGGCTTGCAGCCCTCCAGTGTGGATAGAGAAGGGTGGGAGGTAGTGCCTTGGGGGTAAGACATCATATGCAAAAATAAAGCAATACTTTGGGGGCAACCTCTTCCAGCCCCCTCTCCACTACCCCTACTCCCAGGCCCTGGTCCTTCTCATCTACTAGTTACGGTCTTGGGTACCCCAGAAGACACACTTTGCTTGAGGCCTGTGATTGTTCATTGTCAGAGAGCTCCAAGTTGAGAAGTGCCCATGACCTCACATGAGAATAAAAGAGGGCTCTTAACCTGTTGACAGTGCGATGGCGCAGGGGGAAGAGCCCTGAGTAGCCACCCGAGCTGAAGCTGGCTCCCTGCTGCAGGGTTTCGAGCCCCAGTTTATCCAGTCTAGGTCTCACAGCTGGTGCAGGGGGATTGCCCAGTCCTACCTCTTGGTCTTGATGCAAACACAGAGCTGGAGCTCTATGTTTAGGGTGTTGGGGATACCTGGGGTCTGAGTGCTAAGCACCCAGTATGAGGAAGTACAAATCTCCACCCCACACTCCCCACCCAGGAGAACAGTCAAGGAGATGATAGTTCTCTGACCCGGGAGGAGACAGATGGACTCCAGGAAAACTTATAACCGGGAATAAATATGCGTGGGGTGGTGGTGGTGGTAAGTGAGTCATGCAACCCATGGGGCCAGGTAGGAGGAGTTGGCCCCATGACCACTGGCTCTCAGGGGCAGCCAGACCCCTGGTTACACTGGAGTGGTGCTGCTCCCCCAGAAGGCAGTTGCCTAGAGCCTTCAAATGGCTTGCTCTTTAGAGTCTGAACTCACCCTATCCACACTCACCAGCCCCAGACAGGCTCCAGGATAACGGGGACCACACCCTATGTCTTGGATACTCAGCCCACCAGCCCACCTTCCCCCTTGCATGGTTTCAACACTATACTCGGTTCCTTCCCTTCCCCTCCTGCTTACTTTCCTGTCCCCACAGCACTTATCACAGTGCCTGGCATGCAGTTGCCCTTAAAAAATATTTGTCCTTGTGTAACACATGACAAACAAAAAGGGGAATGTTCACAACAGCAACAGTTGCCAAGGGAAGCTGCAGAATTCAATGTAACCTCAAAGCAACAAATATTTATTGAGCATCTACTATGTCTGGTAAGGAGCTCTGGTAGCGTGGTGCCTAAGGCACTTGACTGCTAACCAGAAGGCTAATGGTTCAAACCCACCAGCCACTCCTCAGAAGTATGGCTGGGCAAACTACTTCCGTAGTGATACCGCCTCGGAAACTCAAGGAGAGGTCGCTATGAGTCAGAATCGACTCAATGGCAGGGAGTTTGGTTTTTGGTACTATATCTGGGGGTATAGTGGGTAAGGCATTTGGTTGCTAACCAAAGGTCAGTGATTCAAACCCACCAGTTGCTCCACAGGAGGAAGGTGAGGCAATCTACTTCTGTAAAGATTTACAGCCTTAGAAACCCAATTGGAGTCACTATGGTTGGAATAAACTCAATGGCAGTGGGTTTTATTTTTAATGTAACAAAGGAGCCCTGGTGGCTTAATGGTTAGGTGCTCCACTACTAACTGAAAGGGTGGTGGTTTGAAGCCAGCCAGTGGCTCCATGGGAGAAAGACCTGGTGATCTGTTTCTGTAAAGACTGCAGACTAGACAATCCTATGGGGCAGTTGCCCTCTGTTACCCGGGGTCACTAGGAGTCAGAATCAACTTGATGGTACCCGACAACAACTATATAGCAGGCATATGCTTTGTGCTCAGGGAAGGTGATGGAGATCCAGCTGTGGGCAGCAGAGGCCAGAGACACAAGGACTCTCCAGGAACCTCTTCCCACCGCAAAGCACTTGGAAACATCTCATTTCCTAAAAGTTCTCTGCATCAACAAGAGGGTAGACATTAAGTTAAGGCCTGAGTTCAAATATGTATCCCTAAGAGAAGGCTACTCACAGACCACAGTGTCGTTGACGATGTGGAACTGATAACTGTTCAACACGGGCTGGCAGCCGAGGTGTTTCAGCTTCTCATAGCAGCAGTCATGTGCCAGGCAGCACCTGGGGGCCAGGGAAGAGGGAGAGAGGGCATTTCCAAGATGCAGGTGGAGGTTCCTGGGGAATCAGCTGGGGGACCTTAAGTAGGAACAGGGAAGGGCCCACCTGCCTCCTCCCCTGGATGAGAAGGCGCTGAAGGTGGGAAGGGGGATTCTGATCATACATAACCACTACCATCATGGAGCCCTTTCTAGAACCTGTTGCTAGCTCATTCGCTCCCCAAAACAACCCTATAAAGCACTATCATTGTTCCCATTTTATAGGGGAAGAAACAAGATTCAGAGAGGTAAGTTTCACAAAATTACACAAGTAGAAAATTATGAACCCCAAATACAAATGTAGGTCTTTGTGACTTTCATTCAACACATTTTTTCTGAACATCTACTATGTGCCAAGCGCTGTGATAGTCTCTGAGGAAACAATTGTCAGCAAGAGCTGACCCAGTCCTTGCTCTTCTGTCACTCACAGTCCGCAAAGGGCTGGGGGTTGGAGGGGAAGGCATTCAATAAGAGAAGACAGGCAGAGAACAGCTCCCACAATCCATCCCCTCCACTTCAGCCAAAGGACAGAAACACGGAGATGCAGCGTCTGACCTGGGATTCAAATCAAAGATAAAAGAAAATGGTCTGGCTGATGCCCTGGGCACGGCACCTCTGGCTTTTCCTTTTACATTTCCATCAGCAAGCACACTCTTTGCTGTTTTTTATCTTTGGTTGCTTCTGTTGTTAGGTGCCATCGACTTGGCTCCGACTCAGTGACCCTATGTACAACAGAAAGAAACACTGCCCAATCCTGTGCCTGACTCACAATTCTTGCTATACTTAAGCCCATTGTTGCAGCCACTGTGTAAATCCATCTCGTTGAGGGTCTTCCCCTTTTTCACTGACCCTCCACTTTACCAAACATGATATCCTTCTCCAGTGAATAGTCCCTTTTGACCACATGACCAAAGTAGGCGAGACAAAGCCTGTCCATTCTTGCTTCCAAGGAGCATTCTGGCTACACTTCTTCCAAGACAGACCCGTTCATTCTTCTGGGAGTCCAGGGTACTTTCAGTATTCTTCACCAACACAACTCAAAAACACCAACTCTTCTTTGATCTTTCTTATTCTTTGTCTGCTTTCACATGCATATGAGGCTACTGAAAACACCGTGGCTTGGGTTAGGTGCACCTTAGTCATCAAAGAGACATCTTTGCTCTTTGGCACTTTAAGGAGGTCTTTTGCAGCAGGTTTGCCCAATGCAATACATTGTCTGATTTCTCAACTGCTGCTTCCATTGGTGTTTACCATGGAACCAAGTAATATGAAATCTTTGACAACTTCAATCTTTTCTCCATTTATTCTGATGCTGCTTATTGGTCCATTTGTGAGGATTTTCATTTTCTTTATGTTGAGGTGTAATCCAAACTGCAGACTGAAGTCTTTAATCTTTATCAGTAAAGATTAAAGTCACCCTCACTTTCAACAAGCAAAGTTGTGTCATCTGCATATGGCAGGTTCTTAACGAGTCTTCCTCCAGTCCTGATACCACATTCTTCATATAGTCCAGCTTCTTGGCCTATTTGTTCAGCATACAGATTGAGTAAGTATGGTGAAAGGATAAAATCCTGACACACTCCCTTCCTGATTTTAAACCATGCAGTATCCCCTTGTTCTATCTGAATGAAAGCCCCTGGTCTATGTACAGGTTCCTCATGAGCATATTTAATTGTTCTGGAGTTCCCATTCTTCTCAGTTATCCATAATTTGTTATGATCCACTCAGTCTAATGCTTTTGCATAGTCAATAAAACACAAGTCAACATCTTTCTGGTATTCTTTGCTTTCAGCTAAGGTCCATCCAACATCAGCAATGATGTCCCTTGTTCCATGTCCTCTTCTGAATCCAGCTCATATTTCTGGAAGTTCCCTGTTGATGTACTGCTGCAACTGTTTTTGAATTATCTTCAGGAATATTTTACTTGTGTGTTATATTAATGATATTGTTTGACACTTTTCACATTTTGTGGGATCATATTTCTTTGGAATGGGTACAAATATGGATCTCTTCCATTCAGTCAGCCAGGTAGCTGTCTTCCAAATTTCTTGGCATAGATGAATAAGTGCCTCCAGTGCAGCATCCATTTTTTGAAACATATCAGTGGGTATTCTGTCAATTCCTGGATCCTTGTTCTTTGCCAATTCTTTCAGTGCAGCTTCAACTACTTCCTTCAGGACCATCAGCTCTTGATCATATGCCATTTCCTGAAATAGGTGAATACCAACCAATTCATTTTCGTACAGTGACTCTGTGTATTCCTTTCATCTTCTTTTGATGTTTCCTGCATCATTCAATATTTTGCCCATAGAATCTTCTAATATTGCAACTTGAGGCTTGAATTTTTTCTTCAGCTCTTTCAGCTTGAGAAATGCCAAGTATGTTCTTTCACTGACATTCATAAGGTTTTCATTGGCCAATACTTCTTTGAGAAGTGGGTGGCCCTTTACTTCTTCTGAGTCTGTCTCAGTCTAGAAGCTCCACTGAAACCTGCCCACCATGGGTGACCCTGCTGGCATTTGACATATTGGTGGCATAGCCTCTAGCCTCACAGTAAGCCACCACAGTATAACAAACTGATATAGATGAGTGGTTAGTTGGGCTAAATTTTATTACCAGCCTTTGGACTTGAACAGTGAGGGACAGAGTGTTGGGGAAAGAGCATGGCTTTTAACACAAGCAAATTCTTGTTCAAATTCTGACTTTACCAATAAAAGGCTGCAGGTCTTAGGGTAGGTTTAGTAACTTTTGTTCTTGGATCCTCAATGTCCTACTCTATAAAGTGGGTGCATCTTGCCTTGTACCATCTTTGTGGAGATTAAATTAGGCTTTGTGTGCCAATCACCAATTCCAGTGCTCAGCACATGGCAGGCATTTCATGATGACCAGTTCCCATCCAGGACTCTGGGGTCCTTCTAGCCAGGATATTGCACAGTCCTATGAGCTCGACTCAGAGCAATCAAGCCCGAGGAGTGGTATTTCAGGCCTTGCTATGGGAACATATTTATCTACATTAGGTGGACTGTGGCTAGGAATGAGCCATGTTGCTTTCTTATTTTTTCAAATGAAATGACAAACTTTCCTGTTTCCTATCTCTCCACGCCCTCACCAGATCACACCAACCTCCAGTTTTTCTGGGAACTCACATGCCACCTCCCACACACCCCATCTTCACGAGTAGGCCCTGGCAACCAGGTTTGTACCCTGGGACTCCATCCAGATGGACAATTTTTCCAAACTGGGCCACTCAGATCCTCCGTCCCGGAATTTGGAATTAGGGCACAGAGATATCGAGTCAGTCTTGCTGGGCCTATAAACCTAAAAACTGAGCAGCTGAGGGAAGACTACATTTGTCACGAGGACTGAGCAGTGAGAAAGTTTCTAGTGCTCTGGTCAGGATCGGCTATACAATTTGCAGGGTCTAGTGCAAAATGAAAACATAGGGCCCCCTGTTCAAAAAGTAAGAATTTTAAGACAGTGACAACAGAGAAGTAAACCAAGTGCAGTGCCTTCTGAATGTGGGGCCCATGCGACTGGGCTGGTCACATGCCCAGGAAGACAGTCCTGGCTCTGAATTCCTGAAGACCTCCCCCTGGCTCCCACTCACTGTTTTCCTAAGCTTGACTGAGTTGGTTTCTGTTAACTAATCCTAGTGTCTTCTCCATGCTTCAAATCAAATGGAGGAAGCTCGGTGCCTTGGCCGTGGGCACTCACCTGTCAGTGTCATCCACAGGGGTTCCTTTGCCCCCAAGCCCACAGTAGCATCCATATCCATAATAGGAGAAGAAGGCACTCCGCCCCGTGGCATGTTTGACCATCCTCTGAAACTGCCAGAAGCTGCTCTGGGTGGGAGCCATCACTGCCAATGTGAAAATGAGGGGAAAAAAGGTGCAATGAGAATGATGCCCCCTTGACTTGCCCTAATGTTTACATCCTGGGTATCATGAAAACCCTAAAATGCAGTGCATGGGTGCAGCTGGCATTTTTAGCCCCTTTAATGAGGAAGAAAATAGGATCAGATTTACCTCCATAAATCTGTTGCTTTCTTGCTAAACCTGGATGCAAACCCAGTTTCCATGACCTTTGGGACAATGCTCTACTGTCAACCACAGTCTCCGCCCCAGAAAAGTGGAAAACCACCGTCCCAGGAAAAAATGCCCTCAGGTCTGCTGCAATATTGAACAGAAAGAACCCAAAGCCAGCAATGCTGGTCCACTGGGCATTTACAATCTCACAGCAAAAACAAAATACTGAAGAAGCAGGAAGTTACCCACTATCCATTGCTTAAAAAATGGCACATATATGTGGACTCAGCAATTTTACTTCTACAAAATGCTTACAAAAGTGGGCAAAAATATAAACACAAGGATGTTTGCAGCAGCATTTTTTGTGGTATCAAAAAATTGGAAACCACCCACATGTCCTCCAATAGGGGGATAATAACTAAATTATGTCTTGGAAAATACCACTTTAATAGCAATATCTCTAGGCAATGGGAATGAGAAGGCAGGCCAAAAAAAAAAAAAAGTGGCATTTATTTTGTATACTTCTGTTGGATTTTTTTTTGCAATGAACATGTATGACTTTGCTTTTAAAATGTTTAAAATGTGTGTGTATAAAGCCTAGAAGGATGTATACCAAACTTTTAAAAGTTGTTCTATATGGGTATGGGAAAAGGATTGGGATCTGGCAAGGATGAACAGGGCTGTACCTTGTCACTATGTACTCGGTTAGATTACTTCTTAATTACAAGCATGTACTCTATCACTCTTGCAGTAAAACGAAAACAAGCCCTTGAAGAAGAAAAGCAGAGCCTGAGGGTTTGGGGCCAACTTCCCAGGGGCCTTGCCGTTTCATGATGCTGGATTTGGATGCCTTGCAATCACTGAGCTCTGCAGAGGAGCATGGAGCTGGGAGGGGGCGATTACTGCCTGTCCCTGGGGGGAGGGCTGACCCACAACAGGCACTGATCTGTAGGCCACACTGTGGGACTGCAGACATGGTCTGACCTACATGTGGGTGTCCCCTCCCCACGGTCATAAGAATTTCCTGCACGCAGATACTCCCTATGCTCATGCTCTTAAGAATTTCCTGCATATTGGTCCTCTCCAGCCCCATAATCTTAAGAACTGAAAATTCCATCACTAACTAATGAATTCATAAGGTTTTCACTCGCCAATTCTTTAAGAAGTAGTTGGCCTTTTCCTTCTTCCAAGTCTGTCTCATTTTGGAAGCTCCACTGAAACCCATCCACCATGGGCAACCTTAGTGGCACAGCCTCCAGCCTCACAGCAACATACGTGCAAGCCACAGTATAACAAACTGGCACACAAGTCCGTCTCCCTTAGCTGTTCCAACTGAACAATGAGCTGGACAATGAATAAAGAAGACCAAAGAAGAGTCGATGCTTTTGAGTTGTGTTGGCAAAGAATGCTGAAAGTACCATGTTGTTGTTGTTGTTATGTGCCGTCGAGTCGGCCCCGACTCATAGCGACCCCTCCTTGGGTTTCCGAGGCAGTATCACTATGGAAGTAGGATTGCCCAACCTTCCTTCTGAGGAGTGGCTGGTGGGTTTGAACCGCCAGCCACCTGGTTAGCAGGCAAGTGTCTTAGCCACTATGCTACCAGAGCTCCCCCTGAAAGTACCATAGACTACTTAAAAAAAAAAAAAAAACCTGTCCTGGAAGAAATGCAGCCGGAATGCTACTTGGAACTGAGAATGGCCAGACTTTGTCTCACCTACTTTGGTCATGTTGTCAGAAGGGACCATTTCCTGGAGAAGGATATCATGCTTGGTAAAGTGGAGGGTCAATGAAAAAGGGGAAGGCCCTCAACAAGATGGATTGACACAGTGGCTACAACGATGGGCTCAGGTATAGCAAGGATCATGGGTCTGGCACAGGACCAAGCAGTGTTTCGTTCTGCTGTACATGGGTCACTGTGAGTTGAAGATGACTTGACAGCACCTAACAAACAACAACAAAGTAATAAAAAGAATCCCAAAAGTTATTACTACACTGTTACACATTTGGCTGCTAAACAAAAGATTGGAGGATTGAGTCCACCCAGAGAAGTCCTGGAAGAATGGTCTGGTGATCTATTTCCAAAAAAAAAAAAAAAATCAGTCATCGAAACCCTATGGAGCACAGTTCTATTCTGACACAATGGGGTCGCCATGAGGCAGAATCATCTCAACTGGTGGTGGAGGGACACAGTTGAAACAGATAGAAAAATGGATCTGAACAAATCTCTACTCAAAGAATCAAACAAAAGAGTCTGAGAGTATTCAATAGGTCCAAAACTTTTTTCTAGTAAGCCCCTTGCCACTTTGCAGAGGTATGCAATCTGATTTCCTAGTGATGACTTATAATGACCAATTATTTCATAAATCAGCGTCTCTGAAACTTGCCCTTGAATGGAGAGTAGCTAAAGCAAAAGGAAGAAATGACAAGAGAAAAGAGCTGAACAGAAGATTTCAAAGAGCAGATCGAGAAGACGAAGGCAATTATCCCAATGAAATGTGCAGAGTCTCAGAGTTAGAAAACCGAAAGGGAAGAACACTCTCAGCATTTCTCAAGCTGAAAGAACTGAGGAAAAAATTCAAGCCTCGAGTTGCAATATTGAAAGATTGTATGAGCAAAATATCGAATGATGCAGGAAACATCAAAAGAAGATGGAAGGAATACACAGAGTCACTGTACCAAAGAGAACTGGTCAATGTTCATCCATTTCAGGAAGTGGCATATGATCAAGAACCACGGGTACTGGAGGAAGAATCGAAGCTGCACTGGAGGAACTGGCAAAGAATAAGGCTCCAGGAATTGATGGAATATCCACTGAGATGTTTCAACAAACGGATGCCATGCTGGAGGCACTCACTTGTTTATCCAAGAAATTTGGAAGACAGCTGCCTGGCCAACTGACTGGAAAAGATCCATATTTGCACCCATTTCAAAGAAAGGTGATCCAACACAGTGTGAAAATTATCAAACAATATCATTAATATCACACACAAGTAAAATCTTGCTGAAGAGAATTTAAAAATGGTTGCAGCAGTATATTGACAGAGAACTTCCAAAAATGCAAGCTGGATTCAGAAGAGGACGTGGAATGAGGGATATCATTGCTGATGTCA